TATAAATGGACAATAAACAAACATATTTCCCAAGTGTTCTGCTGTTTGTCTTAATAATGGTTTACATGGTAATGTTGCCAGTCAGTACTTACTTTCTTCACAGGTCAGGCCTGTGTGCCCAGCTGTGCACACACACTGGCCATTAAAACAGCTGCCACCATTCTGGCACTGACGGTTGCTCTGGCACACATCTCTCACCACCTCACAACGCTCACCTGTAGGGACACATGCCAGTCATGGGTCAGGGGTGAAAGGTCAAGGGTCAGGTTCATTCAGAAGCAGGCTAGTTCACATGATTTGGAGATTATATGTAGACGCAGCTTACTGTTTAGTTTTACACGTTTTAATGAAATACTGAGATATCTTTGAAGGAGAAGATCTATTGGAACTGATACTTAAACAGGCTTTTGCCCTGAGTTGCATGTTTCCTACTCCAAATGAAAGCTGATCCGTACAGCTTATACTTAAGGACGCTGTCTTAGACAAGTATAACTTAGAAAATCTTCCATTTACAGAAATAAAAGTGAAACATACATGGTAACTGATAATGAGCAGCATATACAAACTATAGTAGCAACTTCTGTCAGGGATCAAACATTTGCTACATCTTCTCAAGCACTTTGAGAACTGACCTTCAAATCCATCCTTACAGATGCACTGGTACTCATATTCAGCACTCAACATGCAGTGACCACCGTTCAGGCAGGGCCGGCGGTCACAGGGGCTGTTGTCCACACACTTGTGGATAGACCTGCTTTCTGTGAAACTGTAGGACAGATCCACCTTCTTGTTGTTGATGGAAACCTAAGCAGGCAGTGCAGACGTGTTTAAGCAACCACATAGAGATAAATACTTATTAGCGTTTTATTTTGTTTTTATTTTTAGCACAGAGAGATCTCACCTCTCCTACACATCCCCAAAACATTCTGCTGACATTAGCAGGCTTCGGCAGGATGTCCATGCTGGGAACTCCTCCAAGGTACATGTGGGTGTGGATATTGAGGCCCTGGGCTTTTCCTGGAGACATCTTCCTCTCCACCAGGCCATGGTCGACCCTGAGGTGGCCGGCTCTCTTGTTCCGCTCGGCCACAACTCTGTGCCACTGGCCTAAAGAGACTGGCTCAGGACTGAGAAGGATTGCCTGGCCTGAAAATCAAGATAGGTCCACAGAGATTTGACTTTCTGACAGTTTGCCTTATAGACCGCAATGTATGTAAGTGGAATGAACAAATATCAGTATTATCTGCTCAGTAATTTGATCATATCCCTGGTTATTCTAACCATACTAACTCCTTTATTATGTTAATTCATGCACTAAAACATAAAAGCACCAAGCTGATTTGAGGTGCACATAAACAAATTAAGACGACAGCATTTAATGCTTTGTTGAAATGGTCCCA